GTCGGAACTGCCGGCATTTTAGTCAAACGTTACTCTCCCAGGATCAGTAAACAGTCTTCCATAAAATGTGCCGGCGCTCCACAGCACTAAGTTGATGTATTCCCTCAGCGACCAGCACGGATCAGCTCTAGGCACGACGAAACGGATATCGTCCTCTTTTGGAAGACCAAACAAAGTAGTTTCGCTTTCACAACGAAGCACACAGCGTCTTCAGGACATGGCTGCAGCATCAACAATACTACAGTGAGAGTAAAAGTTACGCCTTTTTTCTTTGCGTTAACATTTGGGCGGCGTTATTCAAATCTTCCCAGATTGTGACGTAGGTATGTGGGGGCGTGTTAGAACGAGCCGTTTTAGGGGGGTGTGGCTGTCAAACACTGCTGCGGCAGTTGGGAAATATGGAAAAAACTCCTGCGGGAGTGGGGACTGCTGCGGCAGTGTGGGAATTAGGTAAGGCTCCTGCGGGAGCGGGGTGCTGTTGGGATGGCTGGAGTGGGGATGGGCCTTTATAGATGGATTAGGTGATGTTAAAGGGGGTTAGCTATGGTGGGTCAGGAGTTCGAGTGAACAGGGATGGACTGGCGTTAAAGGGGGTCGGCTGATGGGGATTCGGTGAGCTTCTTTGATATGGAAGCGGTCTGACCGCACGTAGGTCTTGAAGGCCTCTGGCTTCTGAATGCTTTTGACAAAATCGGTGTCCTGATGTTGCTGGCTACTGGGGGGTGGTTTAAAGGCTAGAGTGTTCGGAGGGATGGTTGAAAACGCATCTTTTCCTCTTGTTTTGGCTTTCCATCCACGTTAAAACAAGGAGTCCAGGAAAACAGAGCTTTAAAAACGCTTTCCAGAGTGGATAAATTTGAAAAAGCTGTTTTCACGTTGTAGAAACGGAAGCTTTTGAAAACGATGAAGCATGTTTAGTCGTGTAACGCATTGTACCAATAGACATGTTTATACCAGTAACGTTAATTTTGCAGTTATGTGCTATTCACTTTCACACTGTTGCTAAAGATATTTACTTTGCACGCTCTTCATATTACAGTCCTAAAAAAGATGACAGAAAATTTACTCACGATTGCTGTCCTGCGGCAAAACACGAGG